ATAAATAATTGGGGTGACATAGCCATCGAATATAAAAATGATAATAATATTACATTGAAATAGTTAGAATAATAAGAATACTTGATATAGTCATCCTTTCCAATAGTATTTATATTTAGGTGGCGTAGTCCACTATCATAATAATAACAATATTTATAAACATTTATATCATTGACTGAACCTGTAGAGTAGGGGTCGGTTCTTCGGAATCGAGTCGTACCGAAGCAAAAATTTTGGTATTTTTTTCGAACCGTACCGTTCAAAATTCCCGAACGATATGACTTTTATAGAACCGAATTTTCCAAAACCGAACCGAATCGAACCAAACTTTATAAAATTTTCGAAAACCCGAAATTTTCCTAAGAAAATCTAATTTTTTTAATCAAAAACTGAAACCGAACCATACTGGAACCGAAATCGAACCGAACCGAATACTATACGGTACTAATTTCGTACAAATTTCAAAATAACGAATAAATCGTTCACGAACTAAACCGCTAAAATTCTGACCTGAATCCTGAAACGTCCATCCCTACCGTAGAGTCTATATAAGTGTAATATAAATATTTATGATTACTTTTATATTATTAACTAATATGAGCCTCTCAAGAGTTATATAATAAAATTAGTAAAATAAGGAGAGATAGAAAATCGCATACTCGTTACATTACCTTCCGAATGATTATATGATTATATATAGATAGAGTATCGATAATGTGTTAACAATAAAAGTATTAATAAATAATAATATAAGAGGAGCATAATATGAAGTGGAGAATAGAGAGATAGAGAGACCGAGTAATGAAATACGAAAAGAGAAGTATGCTATTATTCATCTGATCACAAGCCTTCGTACATGTATTTATAGGCCTTTAATCGAAAGCTCCTTTATCATGAGGGCAATCTTCACATATACCCTTCTTGCGTCACATCTCTATCACTGATACACCCCTCAAAATGTATAAAAAAAACTATCAGATTATACACCCTAATTAAAGTAAAATGACATATATAACCTGAATGAGAAAATGACCAAAATACCCTAATGAATTAAAATTTTAAAACGTGCACTACACTTCAAGTTCCATCATCTTCTCTCTCTTCCGTCGACATTTTTCTCCTGCTGTGTTCTCTCTGTTTCATCGCCATTAAAGGTAAATCATCTCCAAATCTTAGTTTTTTTTTCCAGTTTATTATGCAATTGAAGGCAAATTTCGGTGAAGATATAAGATTCAAGTAAGACCCAATGATTTTCGAGTATTATTATGTTGTTTTTTCTGTTACAGGGTTTGATATTATGAAATAAAAAATACTAACGAAATTTTAGGGAAAATGATAAATGTTGATGTTTTTACAGGAATATGGATGATTATGAAGATTGTTACACATCTATTTGCATTCGGTACGGTGGTTTTTGGGAAAAGAATGAAGATGCAATATTTGAATGGAAAGGAGAGGAAGACAATCAGAAGACTATATGTGTCTGTAACAAAGCAAGTCATGTGACATATGAGGAGCTTGTTCGATGTATATGTGATCAGCTTAAAATGGAATTAGCGACACCAAAATTAAGCTTTTTACCGATGGTCGTTGATGGAAAACAACCGGAATATATATTTGACGATATGTGTGTAAAATCCTTTTTGTTTAGTAAGACAAATGGGCGACGAGGATGGATATATGTCGAGCAAAAGGATGATGATGAATGTGTTGCATGTAATACGTGTGTAGGTGAAGCTAAGGGTGGAGATATTGCAAATACCAAAGAAGGTAGAGATATAATTGAGACATATGGTTTAGTTGTGGATTGTGTGTTAGGAAGAGTAGATGGAGAAGATAGAGAATATAATCACGATACATTGTTTGGAGATTCCTGTCGGGTTGAGCATCAGACTTTGCATGAGGACATACGACATGACAATGAAGTGGAACCTGCGACTAACGAAACTGGAGTTGAAATTACGACTCAGATGAGTAATATAGATGAAGCAGAGATATTTAATGAAGTTGAGAATGGTGGTCGAATACATGAGGGTGGTCGTGATATGGTTTTTTTGATAATTTTTGGGATGTATTTTGGGATGAATTAACGTTTGTATGTTTGTTGAAAAATCATGTATGGTCATAAATAAGTAGCAATGTATAAGTTACAGATGTGAAATATTGTGTGAAATATTGAGAAAGTAGTTGCAATTGTCAAAAAGTAATTGAGATGAAAAAGAATGAAAACGTCAATAAAAAACAAGTAAAAAAGTCAAAAATTCAAAATACAACAAAAATATATTAAAACAAATAAAAAATCATATAAAAAAGTCAAATATCGGACATATCGAAAATGGTGTGGATTTGTCGTATTGTCTATCGTAACCAATTTTTTACAACTCGATTACGACTTATTTGCAACTTCGACAAACGTGTATTTTATCAATAAAATATGTAGGTAAAACGTGTATTTTATCGATATTCTTCTTAGAAGTGATGCATATATACTAATTATATGAAAGGAAAGAATTTTAAATCACAACTAACAAATTTATTAAAAACTTGTTTATTTTCTCACATGTAACAATAAATCTATATAAACCTAATACTAACACATTCAACCATTTTGAATAAAATTCAACAAAATATACAATTTGTTGAAAATGTTAATATAAACCGATTATTATCATTTGATTGGAAGACTTTTACCATCATTTGATAAAATTAACCGACAAAATCGTAATTTATTAACAATTTTTTAAAAATTCGTTGGTGCCAAATAAGTCATAATTAAGTCGTAAAATTTTGGGTTTGACACATAATAAGACAAAATGGGCAAAACGCGCGATTTTTTTCAATTGGACCCCTTTCCTGCAAGTCTATTATCCATGCGTCGACTTCATATTAAATATTTTGTCTACGTGGATTTTTTATTATTATTTTAGATGTTTGACTTTTTTTAATAAATAAATCTGATACCAAATATATTTGGTCACGAATACTACTACTATTAGGTAACAATTACCACTATTCGTTTACTACCATTTTTTGGTAGTAAATGCGACTATCCACACTTGTATGTTTATGCTCAAGTCTGATTACTAATATATTTGGTTACGAATACTACTACTACTAGATCACAATTACCACTTTTCGTTTACTACCATTTTTTGGTAGTAAATGCAACTATTTATCTTGTATATTTATGCTCAAGTCTGGGTGTTGATACTTTTTTCCATTTCTTCGGTCACCTGTAGAGATCAGTGTCACACAACATACCACCCTAAAATTCACACAAACCTAATTCACACATACAAGATATCACAAACTGAGTTCATACTTAACATTATCTATCGAGTTCACACATCTAATCCCAAATGGAGTTCAAAATTAATATATACGACAACCGAGACCAACATTCACAAACCTTTTGTTCCACGACCTCCTCGCCCTTTTCCTCCTCTTCCTTTTCCTCCTCTTCCTCCTCTTCCTCCTCTTCCTCTTATGATTCCACCCTTCGAATTGATAGTCTTCAAAGTATCACCCCAAGGACTCGTCGTTTTATACGAGGTACAAGTTCTCCTTGGCCTTTCTTCCTTCTCGGTCTCTTCTATTTTTTGTTCTTGTTTTTTCTCATCCCCTTCTTCGTTGTCTTCTTCATCTTCATCATCATTTTCTTCTTGTTCATCTTGAGCATTTTCTTCATCTTCTTTGTCTGCTTCTTTCTCTCCCTCTATGTCTGCTTCTTTTTCTCTCTCTTTTTCAGCTTCTTTCTCTCCCTATGTGTCTGCTTCTTTCTCTTTCTCTCCCTCTTTCTCAGTTTCTTTCTCAACTCCTCCCTCTTTCTCATTGACTGCTTCTTTCTCCACTTCCTTTCTCTGTTCTTGTTTCTCACTTTCAACCACTATTGGATCATCTTTTTCTTCTTGTTCTTTTCCCTCTCTTACTACGATTTCTTCTTCTTCCACTCCTTCTGTCTGGTCTAATGCGTTAAGAACATCAAAAATCCCCATGTCCGGTTCACCATCCACATCTTCTCTATGCAGACATGTCTCGGGAGGGGTTGTTGTGTATTGGGTTGAAGTCTCACCCTTTACATAAATGACTGTATTCAACCATATTCTAATTCTGTTTAATCATTAACCAAAAGTTTCGAACTTATATAAAAAAACCAACTCTCTTTCCATTTTTCTATCCATTCGAAGAAAGTTCAGAAAAAATACTCACATCTGAATCCGGAGAAGAATCCTCGGTCCTTTTTCTATGCGAATCTGTTTTTTCGAACGACCCTGATGAATCACTTCAATGTGAGGCTTCGCCACTTGACGAAGATGAATCACTTCCATGTGACCCTTCTACACTCGATCTCGGTGGATTTCGCTCCATTTCGCCAGATTTCTGAAAATTTTCGCACTTCGCCCGCGTTCTCGGTGTTTCTCTGTTTGTTTTCGAAAGGACAGTAAAAAATCCTAACTCTTTTTTTTCTCTTTCTACTCTGGCAAATGGGCCCCTGGCAAATCTGATGGACTTTCACCCACTTGCACACGTGTTTTTTCTCACAAGCTCATTTTTATTAAGGGCAACAAAGACTTTTCCTACTTTTATAAGAGCATCTTTGTCTTTTGTTAATTCCTTATGTTTTTGGGGTGTATCTATGGGGGTTTTAACCCTAATAACCCACTTGGCTCGCAGCAATTTCAGGGTACACCACCCAGAAAAAAAAAAAATTTTGCGACCTTATTACGACTAATATATAACTAATATACAACTAAAATAAGAGTAGTTTGTTAGTCGTAATAGGTTGTATATTAGTTATATATTAGTCGTAATAAGGTCGCAAAATTTTTTTTTTTTTTCGGTGGTGTACACTGAAATTGCTGCGACCCAAGTGGGTTATTTGAGTAATATTCCCGTATCTATGATACATGTGCGACGCATTAGGGGTAATGGTGAAGTTTGCCCTTATCATGAAGGAAGAATATGATTGGACCATTTAGAGGTCCAATTACAACGGTAATTTAACTTTTATTTTTATTATTATAACATCAAGTAACAAATACGCATGTTATCTTGAAGATATTGACAATACATAAATAAGATGGAATAAGTATTACGGAAATTTCAAACCCGAACCTTGTAGCTTCTCTTCCATTACATCGTCGATTTTCTTGGCCATGTCGGGAGTTAGATGATTCTTCCAATCTCCAACTTCGCCTTTCCTGAAAAAGTTCTTGAAATCAATATCGCAAGGCGCTTTCCCTTTCTTGTTCACTTCCAAATTGCTCAAATTACGCAAGCTACACAATTTCAAGATCTCATCCACTAATCCACTTTCCTCCTCTTCTTCCGTAAATGGACGGTCCAAGAATTCGGCCAGCCTCTTGATCTGAACACGAGGCTCATTTATCATGTCTTCATACTTCATGAAATGCACAAGCTTTGGATTATCCAAACTCTCTTTCCAGTAGCTCAAGGCGTGGTCCCAAAAGGGTCCAAACAGGTTTACTCCTCTAACAAATGCTTCGGCCATGGATTCAATGGTGGTTCCATCCATCTCTCTCAAAAACCTTTTCCTGAAATGCCAACCAGACACTAACACATCTTTCAGGTTCCTGCACATGTACACAACCTTACAAGGAGTGTCCTTAACGGTTTCTTGCAGCTGAAGAAACGGCATGTGAGTTCCAAATAGCCTTGGAGAGGCAAGACCTGCAAGATCTGGGATTCGACTTTCGGCATATAAGTCAATCTCGAGAAAGGGTATGAGGCTATGAGGGTTTTGAGAGAGCAAAGGGTGGATTTCGGGATTGGCACGATATTTTCCTCTTTCGACGAGGGCGAAAACAAGGGCTTTGAGCCAAGTCGTACCCGCTTTCGGGAAAGAAGAGAGGATAATATCGGTATCTCGGGGTTGGAAGTGATTTTTAGCATCAAGAATAGCTTGAAATGTATTGGGATAGTACCAAAAACCCTTGTAGTTACAAAGATTCTTTCCCAAGAAATCTTTGTCCAGGGGAAGTGAAGAGATCAAATTCTTGCATTCTTGTGTAACTTTGTCATCTCTCATATAGTTTGGAACTTTAGAGTGAGGGTTTTGAGAGTCATCCATTCTGAAATGACAAATTTTGGATGAAAATAAAAATGCAATTTATACTGTTTTAAAGTCGTGTATCAATTAAAGCGGTCCATTTCTTTGTTCTATAAGGATTTCAATTTAAATTTATGTACCTCGTCCCACTTTAATACATAACTTCAAACCCGAGCCGTCTTGGAGCAGGTACAACTGGAGGGCCCCAACTTGAGTGGGGCCCACATTTTTTTTAAAAATTGTTATATTTATAATTTACAAGTAATATTTATTAAAAAATTAAAATAGCAAATTTTTTAAGTTTTGTTTAATTCACTTAAAAAATACTTTTTCAAATGAGGTGGACCCCTATTTTTAAAAAATATTTTTTTATTTATAAATTTATAGTATTTAATATAAAATTAAGACCATTTTTTTCCAACATTGATCATTTGTGATAATAATCAATTAATAAATATTTTGAGTTATATATAATCACTATATATTAAATTCATATTTTATTTATATTTATATCATTTAAATTTATTAATTAATATAGTTTATAATTATAATTTTTTTTATAAATCTAAAATAAAATTTATATTATTCTAGAATAACATTGATTCTTAACTCACATCTGAATCCATTTATTAATTAATATAGTTTATAATTATAATTTTTTTTATAAATCTAAAATAAAATTTATATTATTCTAGAATAACATTGATTCTTAACTCCAATTATTAAAAAATCATTTTTTATATCATACCAATATTTATTTTAAAAAATGATAAATCTTTAAAATATAGTTTTCTATATCTTTTAAGCATATATTATGATTATTTATTATTTCTAATAATATTATTATTATCGCAATTATTGTTATTAATATTTTAATAATATTTATAAAAAATTATATTTATTTTTTTAAAATTATAATTAAAATTAAAAATTAAAATAAATAATTTTTTCTGTACCGGGCCCGAAAATGTTTGCGCGGCTCTGCTTCGAACCATATTGATTTTAATTTTATTTATTTGCTCAATTGACTAAAATTGCTTTTTCACTGCATCCTCGTTAAGTAACGATACAACAGTGATAATCATGGAAAACTCATGGGATCATACAATAATATTCAACCATTTAAAACACATACGAGTATGGCCCACAATAGCTTAGATATTTCCCAAGATTTATTGTGATGGTCAAAGTCAAACATGGTGGGCTGACTTATTTTTAGCATTTTTATTTTATTCGTTTGGACTTAAGTGATCATTTCCTACGTAAAACCGTTCTAATAACATATTCAACCATTTGAAATTTAAAATTTAGACGTAACGATTATTCTTTGACCTAATTGTCAATGGAGCCAAATGCCATGCTATAACCATAAAAACGGTCCTTTGCTCTCTGAAAACCATTTCTAGGGCTTTTATTAGAATGGTTTGGTTTAGTTTGGTTAGGGTTTTTAAGGGTGTCTTCTCCTATTATATTTAAGGAACATTATGTTATTTGGATCAATGAACAGGATAGAGAATGTTTCTTCTTTGTTCAACATCTTCTTCTTCTCCATATTGTAACCCTTCTTCTTATTTTTCTCTGTAAGTTACTTTTCATTTCAATGGCTTTTGATGTTTTTATCAAAAGTTAATAGCTTTACTCTTAATATTTTAAAATAATGGAATTGCTCATGAAATTATGAAAAGTCCCCAAGAAAAATCCATGGCATAGTGAACTCTTGGGGATGACATTTCTTCTTCCGAAATATCTGACCAAAGAGATCGACAGCTTATACTCATCTTTCCTCTGGCAGCACTCCACAAACAAAACCTCAGGTCATCGTATCTCTTTGGAGTCGGTATGTAAACCAAAACCGGAATAAGGACCTGGTATTCGTAGAATGAATGAGATGAACACAGTGTTTCAGTTGAAGTTGATATGGCTGATGTTTCGTAAGGTCGAATCCTTATGGGTGACTTGGCTTAAAGCGAATATCTTAAAAGGGGAGAGTTATTCGACGTGCAAAGTCTCGCAAACTGCACTTGGAACTTTAGAAAATTACTTCAGATGAAGGATCAAGCTCGGACATTTACCAGTACCAAACTTGGCAATGGGGAATCTACATCTTTCTAGTATGATGATTGCCTAGATATTGGACCTATTATTGATTTTGTAGGTCCGACAGGACCATCACAGCTACGACTACCGAAGTCATCGAAGGTGGCTATGTGATACAACACCAGGATTGGAGATTGCCACCGGCAAGAAGTGATCGAACCCAGGAGTTACACACCAGAATCCTGCAAACCGAGCCACAAGAGCCGACTGGAGACCGGGATCCAATGGTCTGGCATCAGAAGAACGGATATTACTGTTAAATATCAAATATCAAATAAGAAAAGAAAAGGATTGAGATGTTGACTAAATAAGGAAGGTTCAAGTGTGGTTGATCAATCAATCTAATCGTCATCACTTTGACCAAGATTGGAATCAATCATTCATCATTCTTACCGTTGGAGAGAATATTATGCAAGATTATTTTCACTATTCTTTTGTAATTATTTTGCTTTGATTCTCTTCCTATGTAGCCGTTAATCTTTATATATATATATATATATTCTATCTTACGCTATGAATAAAGAAGTAGAAGAACAAGGGACATTTGTCCCCTTTCTATACATCTCTCGATTCTTCCCTCATCTTTTTTATGTAAGTTTAAAAAATTCTTTAAACTCATCTTAAATCATGATCTTCTATGTAAACATTTTAATACATCAGATCATGTATGCGGAAATAAATTCTGAATCGAACACATACATGGTATGCGGAAATAAATTCTGAATCGAACACATACCTCCAGCCATTGAAAATGGTTGAG